TCCTCTCACCTTATTTTCTTCTCCTCCTGTCATTTTTCTCACCTCTTAAAATTTTTCTTCATCCCACTTTTTTTATAGTTATTTAAAAAATTTAGTAGGCATTTAAAAAAATTTACTGAGACACCCCAAAACTTAAACAACAGTTTATCAAGACAGACAGAACATATATGGCAGAGATCTAATAGATCATGTATTCGAATAGTCTTTCATAATAATAATGGAAGGAAAGGGATATTTTATATAAATAGATAAAATGTTCTGGCTGGGGAAATCTTAATTATAAATCTTTAGAGAGGGTATTTGAGGATATTTTTTGAAAAGTTCTATTTTTTTTTAATTCATCATGAGAATGGGTCAGCCAGGGATGGGAACAGAGTCTGGGAGTGGGATATTCAACAATTGCATAGCAAAGGACAAAATACTTTATTAAAAAAATTTACAAATTAATTGTTATTCTTTGTGGCAGGAGAGTATCTATTAGTTCCACTTCCACTGATTGAAACAAAATCAAGGAAAAAAAGAAACAAAAATCTAATATCAATACTAAGTGTACATGAGAAACAAAACTTTTTATTCCTAGTGATCATAATAAAAGCACCCATTTCTTTCTATAGCCTTTACATTTTAATTCACACATTGATCCTATGGGATAGACACTGTTATTATCCACACGTTCACATACAGGGACTGCACAGGGGGAACTCAATATGAGATATATGTATCTAGAGTTCTTAGCAAACTTTATTCCAATCAATTGATAAAGACAACAGATGAGAATCTTAAGGTTGAAAGCTTTTGAAAAAGGGCATGTTCTACCTCTGGCTTCAATCATGTCAAAACTCCATCAGGGGGCTCTTTAAGATAAAGAGAGGTTACTGGTTCTGGCAATATAAGCACATCTTCCGGATCTCCATTAAGGCCTCTATAATACGCCCTAAGTCAGATGTGGCACGATCGCTGTGCTTTCACTGTAGAAGATTACGAATGATTTCAATCCTGGAAATATCTTTAGGTGAGCCCTGGTGTCTTACTTCTGTTTGGATAGAATGGATTACTCTAAAAACGAATCTTCTTGTTGCTTTCCCAAGTATAATTTACTCTCCCTCCTGCTAAGATCTTACTAATGTAGAAACAACAAGCTCATTTCAATTTAAATGATTTAAGAAGTGGTCTGTGGTGCCTGGGTTAAACATGATTCTGAGAGCATACACAAGCTCAGTGGGGATGAAGGAAAGTTATGCTCGAAGTGGAAATATCAGCATGTGAACTGGACATTTCCATCTGTCCTACTGCCTTCTAGAAAGCTCTGGGCACAAAGAGTATGATTTGTTTGTATTTGAATCATTTATGGAAAATCAATTTCATATTTTATATTGATTCTGTTAGATTTATATGACTGTTATTTGTCCTCGGCTTTCAATTCAACAGCTTATAAGATACTGATTAGAAAGAAAGGATAGGACAGATAGAAGATTTTTACTGAATGGATTTGCTTAAACTGAATGTGACTTATTTGTCCTTGTGCAGGTCATTTTTCTCTGAGCTAGTCAAAATTTCCTCAGTAGGCCATACCTCAGAATAGTACTCTCAGGATCTCTGTTTTCTTTTATGTTACCCTTTTCTCCTGCACACAGCCATGGGGACATAAAATGGGTACAGGGAAGTCAGGTTTTAACATATCATTCATCCCTGTCACTGTATTTTTAGGAAGTTGCTCATCAGGATCCTACCGGCTCTCCATGCCCACATCACATTGGTTTCATGGCAGGTAATAACCACTCCCACTTTCAACACCCATACTTTGTCTTAACTGGAATTCCAGGACTTGAACAGGAGTATTACTGGATGGCATTCCCTCTGGGTGCCATATATATCATTGCTCTCTTTGGCAATGGCGTCATCATCTCCACCATCAAGTCTGAACCATCCCTGCATATCCCCATGTACTACTTTCTGTGTATGCTGGCCTTTGCAGACATGGGGCTCACTCTTTGTACTTTGCCCTCTATGCTAGGCATATTCTGGTTCAACTACAAGTTCATTGCCTTTGATGCCTGTCTTGTTCAGATGTATTTCATCCACACCTTTTCAGCCATTGAGTCAGGTGTGTTGGTGGCCATGGCCATTGATCGCGTAGTGGCTATCTGGAACCCCCTTAGATACAGCACCATCCTAACCAACAGAGTGGTCTGCAAAACGGGGATGGCCATTTTGTCAAGGGCGGTCTGCGTGGTCTTCCCAGTGCCTTTTCTCATCAAGCGGCTTCCCTTCTACCGCTCCAACATCCTCTCCCACTCCTTCTGCCTCCACCAAGACGTCATGCGCCTTGCCTGTGCCAGCACCCGTGTCAACAGTCTCTATGGCCTCATTGCTGTTATCTTCACCAAGGGTTCAGATTCCCTCTCTATCCTCCTCTCTTATGTGTTCATACTCCGGACGGTGATGGCTCTTGCCTCCAGGGAAGGCCGGTGGAAGGCACTCAACACCTGTGTTTCACACATCTGTGCTGTGCTCATCTTCTATGTGCCACTGATTGGGGTTTCTGTCATTCATCGCTTTGGAAAGCACCTGTCACCACTGACCCATGCCCTCATGGCTAATGCTTACCTTCTAGTACCTCCTGTGCTCAACCCCATAGTCTATACTGTGAAGACCAAAGAAATCCGAAAGAAGATCATCCAGATATTTGTTCAAACCAAGATTACTGCAGAGGGATAATCAATCAGTTTTAGAGAGGAAGAGCCTATTCTGTGAAAGTTCAATTAAGACTATGATAAATTGATTTTTTAAAAAACTTTTCTGTGTGATTTGAATTGGGCAAAGAAAGATTTTTCTACTCATGGAGAATACCTTCTTTTTCCTAGGCTGAATTGTCTTTTATTTATTAGAGAAAGAGTGGCATCCATAAAATTTGCACTTCCCCATAAACTTATATTTAAGACTAGGCACATGCCAGCTTAAGGCAGGAAATATTAATAATTCCACTGGTAAAAGCAATTCCTTTGAACTGAAATAAGGCAAAGGTTTTACAACTTTTACATTTGAGTTCATTAAATTAACATTCTAGTTTAAGACTTAGAAGTTGCCTCTATGAATTTAGTTGAGGAGGAAACAAACTGTATTCATTAAATAATAAGAAAAAACCTGAAGAGAATATGTTATTAAAATAAAATATGAATCAGAAAAATAATCACATTTTAGAATTAAGAACATGTACATAATGAGCATGAGTCAGTGGTATTGCATAATTTGAGATCAAAAGATTGAGGGTGAGTTTTAGCTATTCCAACTAAGATCTAGATGACATTGGGAATTACCTTAATTTCTCTTAGCCACAATTTTTCATTTTGAAAATGGAAATAATATCACTATGCATCCATCATTATTACAAAATTAAATTTAATAATTATAAATAAAACTATCAAATGTTGTGTAGTTGTAAGAAATATTCGAGAACGTTGAATATAAGGGAATAAGAGGGCTTGTATTTATAGGTTGTCTATGAAGTAAAAGACAAGTTGCCAAATCCTTTTAGGTTTATTTTATTTGATAATCATGGCATCTTTAGGAGCTGGGTAAGTGGGGCAACAATGTTAATCCAAGGGATTGAGAGGCTGAGGCAAGAGGATCACAAGTTCAAGGCCAGTCTGGGCAATCTAGAAAGGTCCTGTCTCAAAATAAATAAAAAGAACTTGGGGATGTAGCTCAAGAATGAAACACTCCTGGGTTCTACCCCCAGTACTGAAAACAAACACACACTCACACACAAACACACACACTCACACAACAGTTTATTTTTTTATTTTTTATTTTGGCTAAGTCATTCTACATTTCTTGTAGAATGTTGGACATCATGGGAGACAGATAAGAGGGGTTAGGCAAAAATATGGTGAAGATATTCATGGAAGAGATTTAAAGACTCATTATGGCTTTTATTTATTTATTATGGCAAACAAAGTATAAGAAATGGAAAAAACCAAGGCATGTGTATATTCTGAGCTACTTGTATCTGTTTACATGGTCACATTTTTTTTTTTAAATTCTTTTTAGTTGAACATGGACACAATACCTTTGTTTTACTTATTTATTTTATGTGGTGCTGAGGATCGAACCCAGTGCCTCACATGTGCAAGGACAGCACAACCCCAACTCCACATGGTCAGATTTTTTATAAAGTATTTGTCATTTGATTGTTAAAGTGAAACATGGTAGACTCTTTGATATTTCGGCAACTATTGCTCTAATCAGTGGCTATTTTAGAGTTGGTAAGATTAATTCACAAGAAATTGTGCATACAAATAAAGAGTATTTCCATTTACAATCTGCTTTCAGGTACATGAGGCCTGACCAGATTAATTTTAGTTGAGTAAAAATAAGCTTTTATTCTTAATTATATAAGCAAAAAGAAAGTATACCGTAGACATACATCAAAATAATATAAGTTTAAAATATCATTTAAATGTTCTGGACTTTTTAGATGACTTGAGGTCTACCATGCCTGGAGGGCCTTAAGGTTATACCAACACCACCACAGTGGCCCTGAGTCTGGAGAAGGGGATACATCTCCACATCTCTTCCTGCTGTTGCTAAGAGCCGTGCGTGATGCATACCTATACAAAAACATCACATGGTACCCCATAATATTGTACAATATTTATGCACCAATTAAAAATAAATAAATACAAATATATATTAAGGAAAAAAGACTAAACCAAAAGATGTACTTTCTCCAAATTGGGGGAACAGATCCTAGAAGCAATAAAAAGTGACGGATATTTTGGGGGCATGAACCCTGTCTCTTTGAGCACATATTGGTCTTAGGTATCTTCATCCATTTGGGAACTTTAAATTTAAGTGAAGGCAAAGAATTTTAAAATCATAGTCTGTGCTTTAGAGACATAGAGAAATGTTCTTCATAGCTATTTGAATTTGGTGCCTTAAGTAAATAAAGTTTGGTCTCAGAAACAAGTGTCATGGCGAAGGAGATTGGGTATTTCTCTCTACCCACTTTCAGCCTCCTTCACGTTCTGCTTTGGAGGTGAAGATGATAGCTGCAGGTGCGTATTAGGAATAGCAACAGTATGATCTATACCATCTGTTAATAGAAATAGCTGATATTTTGGATATTATCTTATCATCCCCCAAATTAATGCTGTGAGTGAAGGTATTGAAAGCAACAGCTTAAGTGTTACATACCTTTAGATTTAAATCCTGTCTGTGTCACTTATTATCTGTAATCTGGAATAAAATACAAAATTAATTTAATGTATCTATTCTAATCTACAAAATCTGTATAAGAATATTATTTATTTTGTAGAGTTAAGGAGATGAGGGAGATAATGTATATAAGATCTAGCTCAGGGCCTGAGAAGAATAAACATTCAATAAATATCAACTGATATAATAATTATTCTCAATTGAAAAATAGACCAATTTTATATACAACTATAATGCACCAATTAAAACATAAATAGAAGGGAGATAAATATTGCAGAAGAAGGGGATCAGGTAGAGGGGGGTGGTAATGGTAAGAGAAAGTAATGAGGATTGAAATAGATAAGCTATGTTACATGCATTTATGAATATGTCAAAATGAACTCCACAATTATATATAATTATAAAGCCCTAATAAAAAGTACACCGAGGCATAGTTTTGTAATTTTATCGGGCTCAAATAGCAAATAAGTGGGCACAACCACAAGTTGAAACCACATCACTCTGCTGCAAAGTCCATGCTGATCCCCAACCTTGTCTCTTGTTTCCTCTCCTGTGTATACTCAGGGCCTTCTTCTGCTTCCAAAAGGAAACAACTGCATAATATCCTCAAAATAAGGCAATTAATCTAGTCCCTTTCTAGGTAAGATTTCAGCTCCCCAGTACATAGCAATGAGAGGAGCTTAAAAAGGGGGTGATTTAGTGCAGTGTGATTGAAGGTCTCAGCATCAGTGCTGACCAGGGAATAGTCTGTTATCTATCTGTGCTGAGCTCAGAAAGAGTGTTTGGAAAAGTTTATGACTTCTCAATGATACTGGAGCACCTAGTAGTAGTAGCAGTAATAGTAGTAGTAGTAGTAGTAGTAGTAGTAATAATAATTATATTGATCTAAACAATTTGAAAAATAAAAACAAAATCCAAAAGTATTTTATTATGTATAGTTTTGAGAAATATGGGCTTAAAAGGATGCATTCTATATTCTTTTTGTAGTTAGCTTAATATATATGTGTGTGTCCATGTATAGACACTTATACATATATTCATGCACTTGAACTAAGATACTACATAATAATGAGGATGAAAACTAGAAGTCAAGGGCTGTGGATAAAAAAAAAGGTACAGTTTAATGTTGGAAACAGGCATGTAATCAAGAGGAATGCTTTCTGGGTAACTGAGGATCACCTGGAAAGTGAGAAGTGCTATCTTCTTTCCCAGGTAAGGATGTCCTGAAGTCAGCATGATTTTTGATTTGTAGACTTAATATTTTTAGTGCTGCAAATAGATCCTATAATCAGAACTTCCAAGCTAAATTTATTGAGCCATGATATAATCCCAGTTTTTCTAGCTTTAGGGATCTAGATTATGACTTAACATTAACACCTGATAATCAAGAATCAAGGAGTAGCCAGATGCTGTGGAAAATGCCTGTTATCCCAGCAGTTCTGGAGGCTGAGACAGGAGGATCATGAGTTCAAAGCCAGCCCTAAACAACTTAGTGAGACCCTGAGTCCAAAAAATACACACATATATACACACACACATGAACTTGGGGATGTGACTCAGTATAAATAAATAAATAAATAAACAATAAATAAAAGAATCAAGGAGGAGCTCCAACTTTATCTGGAGTCTTTCATGTTGGAATAACTTTCAGTTTACAGCTAGTGGCTAGCAGCTATGAGCAGCTCAGAGTGCTTGAAGAATCTACACTTGTTCAGGCCTGATAGGAACGCCCCAGGATGGGATGCTCTGCTCTAGCAAGCCGAGCCGTTAGTGAAACCACATCCTTAGCACTTGTGGTTAGCGTGGCCAAGCTGCCAGGCCAGAAAACTGATAGCCAGGAGCTTCTACATGGAACTTCTAACTTAGAAACCCCCTCCCTTAGGGACAAAGACCCTTCCTGATGATAGCAATATTTAGAACATCTCTTAGTGTGGTTACATTAGGCATAAGATGATTGGCTTATGGATACTATCTTGCTTGTGTATGATGGGCATGCCCCACTTGAACCCTATAACAATTGTATGCATTCCAAAAATAAACTGAGCTACTGGAGATGACCTGAGGTGGGTTTCCAGCCAGTTCTCTCACCATCTCCTGGAGTCTATGTGTTGATTCCCCATCGCACCCGCCCCCAACCCCCTCCCTCCCCCTTGAAAGCAAATAGTTGACCAGAACCACAGCACTTTCAGACAAGCTTGTTCCCTTTTCACATTTTACTCTTGAGATCAGTGGCTATGATAAACAGGAAAATTGCCACCTAAAGAGGTCTATCACCTAATTTCTGGAAAGTATGTTACATAGAAATATGGAATTAAGGTTGCTAATAAAAATGACTTTAAGATAAGGACACTATCCTGGATT